CTGCTGTGTGTTTTGGACAGATATGTGTCACGCCGATGGGACCAGTTTGAAATTTGCTGTTGTTTTCCACCAACTCTTCCTTTGATTCCAAAGTTGTTTTTTCTCTTCCCCAGGTCGTCTTCCTTAATTCATAAGGTCCACCGACATGGAGTCCCCGTGCAAAACCCTGCTACGCCTCACCGCGTCTTCCCTCCACCTTTCTTTTAAACCTCTCCTCTTCCTCTGGACGCGTTTGTGTGAGGCTGAAGGGAGGCTTACGCCGCTGAAGAAGCGGAGCTGGAGATTTTCTGATTTCTTTCTGCCCCTCAACACCGTCTGTGCTTTTGTCAGCTCTGGCTTTTAACAGTCTGAATATTGCATGCGGTGAGGCGCACGCGGGGAACTGCGGACGAGCATCAGTGGGACGTCTGAGAGTAAGGTTGTTGGCAGTTTTTTTAATAGTTTGTATTGTAGCTTAAGAAAAAAACAAAAGTAGTGAATCAGATAGTTGCTGAAGAATAATTGGATTTTAAAAACACAAATTATAAACTTGGAGAAACCGTATCTGTTTTAACATCCACAGTAATGGTTAGGGCTGCATCGAACTGTTAGTTTAGTAATCAATTATTCTGACTATTAGACAGACTGAAGAATTGGCTTAAGTCTTTTTATACAATGTTAGAGATCTAGCAAAAGATCCAAACGAACAAATAATCTCATTCCTTTTTTAAATAGGGAAAGTAAACATTTTGTTGCCTAAAATGCAATATCATAGCTTTACTTTAGTAAATCTGGGTGAAACTCAAACTATGCCACATAAAAAGTTTTGACTAAAGCATATTTTCTAATGTCTAATGATAAAGCATAGCTACATGAAAGTGTATCCTAGCATAGCAGAATAGTTTTGACTAGCCTAGGATAGCATAGCACCAAATAATATAATGTTTAGGGTTAGGGAGGTTAGGGTTAATCTAGCCTAGCTTAACGTAGTATAGGTAGCTTTTTTTTTCTTTGTTCCAAAAACCTAAATACAAAAATCAACTCTTGTCTCTGTCATCATAAATCAGGTTATGATAAAAACTTGATGGGTTAATCATGACATCTTTTCCTAAAGGGGACTTGGAGCTTTTGCTGCTTTAGACAAATTTTGTGAGTATAGAACAGATTGGTGTGATGGTGAGACTACCGGCGGTCTGTTGATGAGCCAGTACGCCTGCTCCTGACATTCCAGAACGATCCGGTCGCCCTTCCTCCTCTGTTTGGAGGCCCTGTTAGCAGAAATCACAGCGGAAGTCGGCGCGCGTGTTTTAACGGCGCGAGGGGGCGGCGCGGCTGCGTGTAAGCGCACCTCAGTTGCTCTCTGGCTTGCATCACCACGAAGTCCCAGGTGTGGTTGATCCGCTTGTGCAACAGACTGTACCTCTCCTAAAAAGGCGCGGACGGAAGAGAAGTGATGACACAAGCAAACTCATTCCTACATAATTCATCACACACACTCACGCTCTGCTTCTGGGACACACCCGCACACGCTCCCTACCTTTTCATACTCCATCAGTTCTCCTTGTTTTCTAATGTTCTTTTTAGCCAAGTAGATCGCTGTGGACGTAAAAGCAAAGGAAAATACAACAAAGAGGAGATTAGTGCCCATTCTTTCTTTTTCTTTGCGCTTCCTTATGATGTTTGGGAAACATTTCCTACCATAGTCCAGCTCTGAGGCGGGCCAGCGGGTACTGGTCCAGAAATAAGGAGTCTGGGAAAACACACAGGATTGTATTTTTTAAACTGATATCGTTCCGGGCAACAAAAGAAGAGAAAACAGACCCCGACAGAGAGATGAGGGATTCATTTAGGAGGTTGACTGATGGAGAGAGAGTGAAAAACGGCGATGAGAAAACTGGAGATAAAGTGGCAGTTTAGCTGAAGTTAGGTTTACGGAAGACATTTTCCTTTTCTAGATGTTGACACAAACATGCAGTCGATGGTCTGACCTGGAAGCGGTAGGGCGACTCGTCGGGTCGCAGCACCAGGCAGCGAGGCTCTTTGAGAGGATAGATGTATCCGTATTTGACCAGCATCTCGCCAAGATGCAGGGCCTCTGAGAAACGAAAAAGTGTAATATTAAGAAATCATAATCCATTCACTTGTATGTAGTCCCACTGACAGTGGCGCCTTTTCATAGGAGTTTCCAGACCGGGCTGGTAAAAATTTTAGGAGGTACAGCTAATATATACATATATATATATTAGACATACAGACATCACCATTTATAACAGCTCTTTAATTAAATGAGCTAAAGCAACATTGAAATTTTCCTTCGCGATCATGTATTTGTGGACTTTGAACTGAATTCAAATCATCCACTGAATTCGACTCCACCTAATTATATAAATAGTGAGAATTCAGGTAAGTCCATTTCAGTCAAAAACTATGTGATTTAATTGATCTGAAAGAGGAATTTCGCATTGAAAAACAAAAATCTTTGAGTACTCTCATGCCACCCCTGTATAAGGTGCCGCCCTGGGTGTTTGCCCATATAAGAAAGAGTCACGGTTCTATATAAAAATTTGATCCATTTGGAGTTTAGGAGACAATAGTTGCGACTTGGCACTATATTAATAAACTGAACTGAGCTAAATTTGACTTTTTTTTTTGAGTGACACCTTATTTCCTTCTTTCACACTCTTAAGTCCATACAGCGTGAAAAAGGAACAGTGTCCAACCTTGAAATTAGTTCAGGCATGGCAATATCCCCTGAGGACCTCCGCCGCGAGAGAACACTAATCAAACGCACATCATCAAGCGACTTAATCAAATTCCGGCCCAGCGGGCCTCACTCTATTCCTGTTTACTGGAAACAGCCACCCCTGGATCCTGGATCACACACACACACACACACACACACACACACACACACACACACACACACACACACACACACACACACACACACACACACACACACACCCGAATCACATCTACCTGGTCTCATCTTGAGAGCAAACACCATATCCTGGCAACTCTCCTATGACACACAACAAGCTATAGTCACACACCTCTTATCACCCAGAGCACTCACCCTCCTCACAGATGTGGTATTTCTGAATCAGCCAGGTAATTATATCACGGCCTATGAAATCAAAAACATAAAAAGAGGAGAAAATGTCATTTAAAAAGCAGAGTTTTTGACATCCTGGAGGGTCTGAAATCCCTTCTGTTGTTGTCATATTTTTGGTCAGTAGCAGAGGTTTTCACATAAGCACACACACACACACACACACACACACACACACGCACGCACACACACACACGCACACACACACACACACACACACACACACACACGCACGCACGCACACACACACACACACACACACACACACACACACACACACACACACACACACACACACACACACACACACACCTGTCATGGCGTGTGGGATGACAGTGATGAGGAGTCTCTGATTTCTCATCTTCATGCCCATGTCCGGGTCCTGCATGGCCACGAGCACTTTCTCCATCTGTCAAACGGGCGCGCGCATGAAACACTAGGTGAAAAACCTCACATCAAACGCCGCCGCCGCTCATCAATAAGTTAGAAGTTCAGAAACAAAACAGTCACGTTCTGCTTATTCACTTTCTATCGTGAGGTACAATATTATGCAAGGTTATCTCGGTTCGCTCCTGTTGTGCAGTAGAATGTTTTATATCTAAATAAATATCTATATATTTATTTAGAAATATAAAACAACAGCTGACGGATTTGAAAAGCGTTACCTTCCGAAAGCATGACATTTGCTCCGGCTGCAGTCCTCCTTTAGCCAGGGTGTTAATTGTCATCTTGCGGGATGCTGAGATCACCCGGCGGGACGGCGAAGTGCAAAACACCAAAGTGCTGTCGGGAGCGAGCGAACGAGCGCGCGGCAGCGACTAGTCCACACGCGCGCGTTGCTGTCAACACCGTGGGCGCGCATATAGCCTATAATGTTATGAAGAATAAAAAAAGATTTGTAGTTGAATTCCTGCCTTTAATTCAATAAAAACGTTTTTTATTATTATTGTTGTTGTATATTTTTGTGTGGCACACAAAAAAATGACCATGTTAAAAGTGTAAATAAAAACAATAAAATATAAATAAATAAATGCAGTAATAACTCCGCGTTTTTCCGATTTATACGAATAAACTGGTCACATCTTATTGAATTTTCGATTAGTTTTTTTTGTCAATTTTGATTTTGTTCCATCAAATGTTTAAAGATTGCTTATAAATAAAATGCACGTTGTGCAGGATAATTTAAAATCGGCGCAACTTTGCTTTAAATACATCTGAAAGACTCTTAAAAAGCCAACTTAAAGTTGTTGTGGAAAATAAACAAAAAACTTAAATTTCTTTGTTTATGTTTTGTGTAGTTTTTCATGTTATATTTTAACGCTAACAATATTTTATGTTGTTTATTTATAATTCTTAAATAACTAATCCTATATTATATTATATTATATTATATTATATTATATTATATTATATTATATTATATTATATTATATTATATTATATTATATTATATTATATTATATTATATTATATTATATTATAACATTTGCTCTGACAATACTGGCGAGTTGTATACCAAGCCGGCTTCCGTAGGAGGAGGAAGCGGTTCATTCTCTCCATTAGTGAGGTCTATTTGTATTTCATTTTTTTTACTTAGTTTTACTCCACTCGGCATTTCACTGCTGAATTAGAGTCTTCAAAGAGGTAAAAGCTTTCAGCGTGTCTGTTTGTCTTCTCGGAGGAGCTGACTGGTGCAAGTTTTGGTCGCGAAGCTGAAAACTAGCCGCTAGTTGTTGCCTTGCTAGCAGCGAGCGGCGCAGAATGGACAGAGACCGAGTGAAGGATGAGCTGCAGAAACACTGAAAATCCTGACTCCGCGGACTCTCAGTGGGCAGTGGTCACTCCAAAATCCGACGTTGAAACGAGTACTTTGTTTTCGTCTGTTTAGTTTCCTTTTTTTTTTTGGCGTCATTTATACATGTATTTACAGGGGAAGAGCCTGTCGCTTTGTTGTATTACTACTCCGTGTTGCTGCTTTTCCTTTCGACATTGCGCCCCGTGCAGCATTTCACACTCACCAGGGATATTTAACTCTTGACAGGGACGCGTTTTGGGGTTCCCTTGGACATGAACCAGAGTTGGGGACTCGGGTCGTTAAAATCAAGTCTTGAGACTCGCAAAACAGTCTCTGGCGTGGACAGTCCGCACGTGGACAGGATCTAATGATTGTTATGGAGACTTGTTGACCGCAAGGTGCCATTTGTAGCTGCAGTGTTTCTACCTCCCTCATCATTCCGTTCCCCTCCATTGAGGGAAGTTACCTGTCACCCAGCCTGGTTCTCAATGGACAAAATGAATTAGCCTTTGATTAGCGTCATGTTTGACTTGCATCATATTTACAGCCCAAGGAACCAGGAAACCTTTGTTTACCAATTCCTTCAGTTCCCAGAAATCAGTGCATTTATATGTAAACAGTAAGTCTAATCATGCTTTTTAAATGACCTTGAACAAAAGATGGGGTTTTCAGGTTTCTATTTAATGAGCATTTTATTTGATCTGTAGATGCTTTATGAATGCACGGTTGTTTAAAATTGCATTTACTCCACTTTACATACCATTTAATTTTGTGTTCAGTGGTGTATATGTTGTTACTGCGCTGCTGTAACGTGAATCTCCCCACTGTGGGATTCATAAAAAAATACTCTCTTGTTTTAAAACTCATCATTTTACATGAAACCAGTAAAAAATAGAATCTAGAAATTTGAGTTGAATAACAAATATGTTTTGATGTCAAACAGTTTTATTGAGGAATCAGACATGAAGATTTGAACAAACGATACAAATCCATCCTCTTTTTGATGTGAACATAAAACAGAAAAACAATACAAAGTCAAAACAAAGGCAACATAAACAAGGACACTTCAAAACCCACCCACCTCCCCATTCCCTAGGACTTACATCTTATCACACCGAGAGTCAAATCAGATTTTTTCAAGTGGAGTTATCAATATATTGTCGAAGGGGTTGCCAAGTTTTATTGAATCGTTTTAAGTTATTTGTTAGTGAAAACCGTATTCTTTCCAGATGAGAGAGCCTTACCAGTTCCTCCAGCCACAATTTGACTGATGGAGCCTCAGATTTTTTCCAAAACATCAGCACTAGCTTTTTTCCTATGATGAAGGCATAAGACAAAAGTTGTCGTTGGTATTTATTAAATTGTGACAATTGAGCAGAAACTCCGAGTACAATCAGAAGTGGCTCCAGCCTTAACTCTGTATGAAACATATCTGATAAAGTTTTAAATATGCCAGACCAAAATGGGGTCAACTTAGTACACAAGGAGTAAGAATGAAGAAGTGTGGCTTCTTCAATATGGCATTTGTCACACAGAACAAATATGTTTAACACTGCCTTAAGCGCATTGTACATTATTGCATTTATTTTTTTTAATAACATATTGAAATAAAAGTGTGTGTAAAAGGCACTTTAATCTAACAAATGAGCCTCATTGGAACACAAATAATTTATCTAAAGTGACTGTAGATTCATTTCTCCAGTTTGAGGTTATCTTCCTACAATCAAAGAAATTGACTTTGAAGCTGTTGACGCGCCGTTCCCTCAGGGGCTAACAGTTTATTTTCCACATCTGTGCGGTAAAGGTGACATCCATACATTAATCGTGTGTGTGTGTGTGTGTGTGTGCGGGCGTGTGTGTGTGTGCGGGCGTGTGTGTGTTCCCCTGTCAGGTTGCGATGGGTGATATCCGTCAGTCATTGCTGCCTCGGGACGTGCTGAGCGCCGCCAAGGAGCTGCTCTACCACCTGGACATCTACATCTGCAACATGGTGCAGTCGGGCAGGCAGCCCCCTCAGGTCGACTCCAAAACCCTGGATCTGATCGAGGAGTTCATCCTGCACACGCCCAAGGACAGAAACGCACCAGTCAGGGTCAGTTCCCCTGAATTTACTCTGAGTATTTACTCTGAGCAGCTCCCTCAGAGTAAATACTCAACAGCATCAAAATGTAAACGCCAACTATGTATTTATTGTTTATTCCAACAGAGGATGAGTGCTCTGCAGGAGCTACAGCTCCTGGAGATCATGTGCAGCTGTTTCCAGGAACAGAGTCGGGACACGGTGCGCCAGCTCATGTTCTCCGCCCTCTTCAATCTCCAAGGAAACCAGGCGGACGAGAGTCGGATGGCGCTGCTCAGCAAACTGGTCTCCATGGCAGTCGCTGTGGGCAGGGTTCCCATTCTGGAATGTGCCGCCACCTGGCTACAGGTGAGGAGTCCACGTAGGGCTGGAACCATCAATCGGATTGATTCTGATGAATCTTGAGATTTGGGAAGAACAGATTTACTTCCTAATTATTATCTTAAATGCAAAATGTATCTATTTTTTGTACAGCATTGCCTTAATTACTGCTCTCAATATGTTCTTTCAGCAAATTGCTTTTGTTGAGCCTGTAAATGCTAACGATTAATTGATTAGTAAAATAGTTGACTATTATTTCACCTATCGATTAATCCGATTAAAAGTTTCAGCTCTGTTGTGAAGAAGGAAAATAATTTACAGTGTATTTTTACAAATAAAAATCAGAATAGAGTGGTGTGCTTTCATTTCTGGCCCCCTCTAATTAATTGCCCCTGAATAAAACTCTAAGCCTCTGTCGTGTGGAGTGTGAAAGTGTTCATGCTCTGCCTGCCTGTGGTTGTGCCTACAGAGGACCCATCGTGTGTACTGCATCCGCCTGGCACAGGTGCTGGTGGACGACTACTGCAGCATGGTACCGGGATCTGGGCCCACTCTGCACAACATCCACAGCGCCAGCCCACGCTTCTGCTGCCAGTTCATCACAGCCGTCACCACTCTGTACGACCTCACCTCAGGTACGTCAGGATCACGGAGAAATCCTCAGCGTTGGAGCGGAACATCTAGCAACCTCAACAACACGTCTGGGTTTGGTTTGTTTTGTTTTCGTTTTTATTTTTCCAGAGGAGCTCACGCCTCCGATGGAGCTCCTCCAGATGATCGTGTCGTGGATCCAAGACGACCCCCGACTGGTCCTGATCACCTTCTTGAACTCGCCCCTGTCCGGCAGCCAGCCAATCAGCTCTCTGGACGTGACGCCGCTCGGCGGGTTGATCCGCTGGTGCATCAAAGCGCCGCTGGCCTACAGGCGAGACAAGAAGCAGGCGAGCGACGGGAGCTCTGACGGCGAGCCAAGCGCAGCGAGCCTCTTCTCAGCTCTACATCTAAGTGTTCTTCAGGTGTGTGTGTGCTTTTGTTTGTAATACTTTGTGTGGACCATTTTCCTGACTCATACTATGTTGTTGGGACCCGCTTCTTCTTTTGGGGACCGAAACCTGGCTTCCCCACAGAGATAACCATGCAAATATGTGTGTGTGTGTGCGTGCATGCGTGCGTGCATGTGTGTGTGCTAGTTAAACATTAAAGATATGTTGCAACGTGACGTCACGCACAAGATCCCACCTGCCAACTCCCTTTAGTAGGGCAACAAAACCGCTCGCTGGTTTTAGCTGTCAAGTTGTCAACACAACATGCTAAATCTTAAATGTCAACACTACGACAGCCGCATAACAAGGTCCAAGGGTGTCACATTTCACAGCTGAGTGAAAAGTTTTAATTTAAAAAAAAATATGCAAAGGAGAGGGAAGTAAGTCAACTATGCTAGCTTGACTTTGACAACCTCAACATGCAGATGTGCTGCAGAACTCGGAGTGTTTCGTTTGAGTTAAAATAAAAAGGCGACCCACACATCAACTCTGACAGATTGTCAGTAGAGCAGGTGTTTAAATTATATAATCAACCACCGGCGTGTTCAGACAATTATTAATAAATGTAAAATACACATCAAACCTGAAAACATAAAACTAATGGACCAAATGTTCTGTTCTTTGTGTGGGAAATGTTTGCGTGTTTTATGGTGTTAGATCCTGAAATGCTCGTGAAGCTGTTGTCAGTCGGTTGCTACGGTAATGAATCTTTGCGTATCGTAGCTGATACGAGTGGTTTTGAGTTTCTCGACGTTTTGTTTTTTTGTGTTATTTTTCCCTTTGCACTAATGCGGCAGGCCGTTATGGACCTCATGTAGAAGAATCATCTTTTTGCCCTTTAAAGTTGTGTGCATGTGTGAAATTTCTGCATCTATACATTCAGTCCAAACAGTGACGACAACCAAACTTTTTTTTTTTTTTCTCTCCTTCTTCTGCCTAATGTAGGTGTTCATGCTTTTACCCAACATACTCAACGAGAAGGGGCTCTTCGGCCGCCTGGCGCTGCTTCAGATGGAGTCGGTGGCCGCCCTGACCTCCGATCTCTCTCGCCTCCTGGACCAGGCCGACAAACACACACACGCAGCCACCAGCGACACACAGGCTGCGTCCCAGCTGGCACTGGACCGCCTGGCCCAGGCTCTGCAGGTGGCGATGGCCAGCGGGGCGCTGCTCTGCTCCAGAGGTACGAGTGAGCGAGGAGGAAACGGGGTGCAGGGAAGCCGTTGTTGTTTTATCCGTCACAATAAAGTCCATTCAAACACTACAGCAGAGATAAAAGGTTGAGAAATTTCAAATGTATATTTGTCTTTGGTTCACAATTCAGGTTAAATAGCCAATAACATTCAGTTGTACCTAAATTTGCTACTTTAGCTGCAACTGAACTTGTGACTTTTCTTTTGGGGAAAGACTAAGAAAATAAAGAATACAGAATAAAGTCATAATTTTAAGAGAATAAAGTCGTACAAAATTAATGAGAATAAATTATTATTACGACTTTATTCTGGTAATATTGACTGTTCTCAAAATATGACTTTGTTCTCATATTATTGTGACTTGTTTTTTATAATATTTCAATTTTATTCTCAATATCACAATTTTATTCTTGTAATATTGACTTTATTCTCATATTATGACTTTATTCTTGTATTGCTATGACATTATTTTTATATTATATTTTTATATTCTTGTAATTTTATGACTTTGTTTTTATAATATAATAACTTCATTCAATTCTTTGACTTTATTGTTGAAATATTGTGATTTTATTCATGTTGGGAGTTTTTTTTTATTTTTCTTAACATGACCCGAATACTTTGTTGTACTTTTCTAACTAGGGTTCAAACCGGTCCAAAGAAGTGTTATTGAAGTAGAAACACATCATTAGTAGTTTGGTGTCTGAACACAGTGTCCCAACAATTGAAGAAAACTTTCTCGCCGTAAAATGAAGCCCATAATCTGACAAAAAATGTTAAAGTGGAGACTATATTGAGGTGACCCAGACAGCAGTCAGAACCAAAGCAATACATTTTCTAAGAGTTTCTCTTTTTTTTGGTACACAGAATTCAAGTTTGGGTCGTTGAATTAAATGATTTTGTTCATCTGGGGCGTCTTCGGCGTTTCCATCAAGTGACAGTAAATGCTTAAGAGATGCATTTTTGTCTCCACAGAGGACCTGAGAGCCATCTGTTCACGGCTCCCTCACAACAAGTAAGACATTTTGTCTCTGTTTTTTTAATGCATAATTAGATTTAGATCTTGGTTTGAACTAGGCCATTTTAACGCTTTCATATGTTTTGATGGTAGCTCTGACTCTGTTTTGTTGTCCTGCTGCGAGGTGAATCTCTGCCCCAGTTTCAAGTTCTTTGTTGTTTTTTTTAGTTTAATTTGTTTCTTATGGAGGACCAAAACTGACATAATAAGAAATATATATGTAGTTTTTACTTGTCGTCAAGAAATATATATAAATAAATGTATATAAAACAATATATATCTATATTTCTTGACTTAAACGTATGTGTAAGGACAAGAAAAAAACTTAATATAAATTTCTGCTTCAATTTCTTATGATGTCAGTTTTGGCCCTCCATACCTGCTATACTTACTACGGTTTCATACAAATCGGTATTGGTCAAAATCAGTTGGTAAGATTTTTTGAACATTAGCTGTTGTCCAGAAAACGGCAATCAGTGCACCGCTATGAACATACCCTGGCTAGCTAGCTAGGCCCTTAGCTTTTATTCGTCCATCATGGGTAAGAGAAAATTTGTCTGCAGTTGGCTGGACGAAATTTCTACATTCCTGCCGAGATGCAGGTCTTAACTTTGTAATGGTCTTATTACATGACTTGATTATCTCTAATCTTACAACCTGCTTGAACCAAGATGTGTCCATTTTTTTTTCTTCCCCTCTCCAGTCTGCTCCAGTTGGTTCTGTCCGGCCCGGTGATGTACTACAACAACATCCACACCCCTCCGCTGGCCTACAGCCCCCACGCCGCTCACTCTCCCATCCCCGCGCACCCCACTCTGCCGCCTCACACACCCCACACCCCTCTGGCCGCCCACCCGGCCCCTCACGTCCAGTACCCCGCTCAGCCCTTCATGACAGGGATGCCGTTCCCCTTCAGACCCGGCCACTGAAAAGAAAAGAAAACACAGACTGCCGCTCCGTGGCTGCAGACATGAGGGACATGACGAGTGTTTGAAGGAATGTTTGGATTTTTGAGCGCTTGTGAATGTTTTCCAGTGTATCCGCATTGAATAAATATTTTTTTACTTTACATGTGGTGCAGTTCTCGACGTCTACCACTTGTGGTCGCTATTGCAGCTACAATCGCACATGGTCAAAGAAATGAGGCTTAAATTTCCAATTTTTACAAATTAGAATAAACCAACGTGGCTTTTAATTACTCTTTCTGGTCGGGATTTCTAAAGCTGCATAGCAATAAAACATTTGGAAAAAAGAAAAAGTGCAAACTCAACCGTCAAGAGATTTCTTGAGAAATTTACTCAGGAAAAACAAGTGGGGCAATGCTGAGGAAATTCTGTCATGATGTGACTTGTATGGTTTACTACACACACTTTACTCACACAGAACGTTAAAGAACATCTGAAGGTGGACTGTTCAGCTCTTTCCCACACTCAGCGGGGTTTCATTGGGTAACTATGAGATGTCACTATCTTCCAGCAAGCAGGAGTGGAGCCCTGTTTTCATACAGATAGGATATCATCCAACAGCCTTAACACAACCCCCACCTTCACCCTCACTGCTCTCATTTAAGACGAAAATTGCATCATCTCCCCATCGCAGCTGCTGTCCACTTCCTCATTTCAATACAAAGCAAAGATTTAGGGGAATTTTGACCTGCTAAGGTAGACTAAATCTCACAATTTTCCTTTTGTCTTCACTTCCTTTAAGTAATAAAGGAGGAACTATAAACATGAAATAGTTTAGCCATAATTAGACTGCGCTTCCTTTCCACAGGTGGAAAGCCTGGGCAACCGTCCAGTAATATTTACTTCTGCGCATCCCAGATGGTTTGTGCAAACACAGATTCCCTGCAGTTCATCTCCACGAGGTTCCACCGCAGAGCAAACACATGTCGGGGAGATTGGGCCGCCTGCTGGGTTTCCTCCCTGCAGAGCGGGTGGGGCTGCGATAAGAATATCTTCACGCTATCGTGACGGTTGAGGTGCCTGATAAAGACGCAGTTCGAGTGAAAAGGCGGGATCGTGGGTGTTTCGGGGCCTCTGAGGTCGCGATGAAGAGAAGAAGCGGTTTGCTCGCTGACAGATTTCTTTGGATTGTGTTTCTGTCGCTGTTGGGAAAAAGCTTTGAAAAGTATGTGAAGAAGTGAAACCTCCAAAGCCTACAGTAATTACTTTGCAATGTTTGCAATAAATTAAGTCATCACTTTTTTGATTTAGCAGCACTGAAGGATTTTCCAGGCTGTTTGACCTTCAACAGTCTGTACATTGACTAGGCCTCTCAAAACCCTTCATTTTTGTTGTTCCTTAACGGGGCAGTGTAACGTCAAATCAACACGTTTTGACCTTTACATCATGTTATAATGTTATTCCCTCATCAAAAACATACCTGCGGCGTTGCCTTGATTCAGTCACGCACGTTTGAGAAATCCCTTAGTTTCCATGGCAACCACTCAGCTGTGCAAAACACCTAGGTGAACCTAGCCCCGCCTTCAATCGCGAAGCTCCTCCTCGGAGCTGCAGTTTCTGAGCTTCCGCCTCACTCAGCTCCTTCAGACTAGCCAGCAGCAGTTAGCAAACATCTGGTGGAGCTGCAATACATTACACTGGCTTCTTCTCAGTACTGGTAAAGATGTTTTTTTATTGTTTTTTTTACCCAAGTCGTACTTTTGAATCACAAATTTTGACCTTACATGACGCCTCTGGGTTCCTTTCTTACTTCATGCCTTCGTTTTTCACATACTGTAGAACCAAGTTGGTTTGGAAAGCTTTTTTTCTCTCATTCTTGAGAAATAAAATTATAAAAAAAATTCCCTTCTCACCACCGCAGGTGGTTCTTATATATATATATATATATATATATATATATATATATATATATATATATATATATATATATATATATATATATATATATATATATATATATATATATATATATATATATATACACACACACACACACACACACACACTCAGGTTATCTTTGATATTAAAATGTGTTTGAGTCTGATAACGGTTACGTGTGACAAAACAAAAATCCAATGCAACTTATTATGGGGGCAAATATTTTTTAAATTTCCATATGCGGACCACTTAGGTGACGATATTTATTTATAAACATTCTTAGTTTTTTTCTTTTGTTTTAAAGTTATTTCCCATCAATATTCTTATATATAAATACAGTATCTGCAGTTTTTCACTAAATGTAGACTTTCTCTATTTCCACAGCTGGAAACCAAAACAAACCTCACCTGTCTCTTTTGCACATCGAGTGGTTACATGAAGCACAGTTTCCATCGATTCAGGGGAAATTGTGGTTTGGTGTTTGCCCAGCTGAGCCTCGCAGGTGTGTGTGTGTGCGTGTGCGTGTGTGTGTGTGTGTGTGCGTGTGCGTCTGTGTGTGTGTGTGTGTGTGTGTGTGTGTGTGTGTGTGTGTGTGTGTGTGTGTGTGTGACTGCCTGCAAACGCTGCAGCTGCAAAAAATACCTGACCCACAACCGCAAGGCCAAACCCAAAATCAGATTAACTGGGTCCTCCAAGCCAGCGTTGCAGCAGATGTATGAACCTTAGTCTGAGTAGGACACAATTGAACCAGGTCAGTCATTAACTAATGGCCATTTCCACTGAAAGCTCAAGCAGCGATTAAACCGTTTTCTTTTTCTTCTTCTTTTTTTTTATTGCTGTTTTACCTGTAAATCCACTTCCGTTAGTAGGATCAGATGAGGAAACGCCGTAGGTTGGAACCTAACGACCTCCTCATGGTCACTCAAGTTGAGAAAGTATTTTTAAAAATGTTAAAAAAAAACGTTGCAATTGCGCTACATCAAATCCGACAAGTAACACGCACATTACTTAAATATGGAATTTTGCTGCAATGTAACTTGATGGAACAGCACAAAGGGACGCAGAAGTTTGTCTAAGAAAAGCCTGGGACAGCGCCGAGTCGTTCAGCGTCTCCACCGGCTTTACACATCAAGAGTCTTGGCATCTTTAAATACCACATTTTCAGTCTCGCCACAGATTTTATATTGGATTTTGGTCTGAACTTTAACTAGGCCGTTCTGACATGCGTTTCTCTAAACCAGGGATGTCAAACTCTTTCTCATTTCGGCCCACATCAAGGTCCTGAATGCCCTCTAAGGGGCGGTTATGGCAGAATGTTTTGCTAAAACTACCTATTAACAAAACTCTTTAAATTATTACAGCTTTCTCTACATTTTAGGAATATGTCCAAAAAAAAAACAATATTTAACATTATGCTAACTGGGGACTGTACAAATAAAAACAGAATTGATTTGAATAATAAAATAATACTTCAGCAGAACTGCTATCTTCAGGTTATTTTTCGGCCACAGAAATGGCTAAGGCGGGCCGGATTTGGGCCGAGTCCTCGAGTTTGACAATAATGGACTCACGCATGCATCATTAAAATAGTCTTTAAAAAGTATTTAAATTTATGTGGCTAAAATTAAGATCTTTAAACCCCATAAATAAGTAAAAAGTAAGTTGAATTTTTTTTACTAACTTGAAAAAAGAATAAAAGTGCTGGCTTATGTAACAGAACGCAATAAACAGGTTTTGCATCTTTTTTTTTTTTTTTTTTTGCTAAAAATGATGCAAGTGTTACAGACGGTTCCTCTACCTTGACTACAACAGCGATCTGAAAAGCACCTGAAAGAGTTCTGCTCTTTCAGCAGGCTTCTTTCAGCTGCGATGGACAGGAAACTGGGAGCGAATTTCCTGCCAGGCACCATAATGAAGGCCTTTCTGGTTATTTCCTTTTACCCGAGACGCTTTCGAATTGAAGAACACAAGCGCCGCGGTTTCTGTGGGACCACCCTCATTAGTTTCCTTTAAAGACGGGATCCCTGCCAAAGTCGCAGCCCGAGAATCCTGAGCTTAGCTGTCTTTACCTCAAAGCCGGCTCCTGAGTGTTGACACAACACGGTTTTTAAAGGGATTTTGTGGCTTTGTGGGAAACACAAGTTCTTCCTTTCTCATAACTCCTCTCGGAATCTGTTTCTTCAAGCCGATTGAGGCTGTCTGTGATGAGCTTCTGGTGTTTGCTCTACTTAAAACTCTTCTGATATAATTTGGAACAATCCGTGCGTTGCTGTAGCTTATCTCTTTAGCCTAGCTAGCAGTGGATTAGCAGCAAATGCAGCTAACAAGTGCACCCCTTGTACAAATAAATCATGCTAAACTCTATGTTTGAACCAGCAGCATTGTAACTGAGCTTTCATGAGTCTGAGGAGTAGCACTTAACAGTTTCTTTTTAAAGAAGCCATTTTTGTTTTCAAAGATCCGATTGACGCCTGCGGTGTAGATTCAACTTGCTCTACAGTTGAAACTCGACTTCTAACTAACAGTGTACTACTGGAGGAATGGTCTGTGAATTAAGAATGAGATTGAATTGCCTGCTCTGTAAACAACTGCTAAAAATTATACTGGAGGAATCCAAGTTGATGGGAGGAAGCTCAAAGGGATCACTGAAGGAAGATGAGAATCAACCAGAATTATGCATAGAAAGGCAATGGCAAGGCTAAAATCACCTGTGGATTTTGTGAGACTAAGAAAAGGTTTTTCTTTCACTGTCAAATGCTAATATTAACTATTTAAAAAGCCACTCAATGAAGCCGCATTTCTCTGGAAAAACAAATGAATCAACACTGCTCTATACAAAATAACTGAACTAAACGGTTCTATCAAGTAAAACATTTTCTCAAAGGAGGATGTTTTTCTAAAGTGTGGCCAAAAAGAAAAAGAGATGTTGTGTTTTGTCACAATTTCAGAATCTTGCTACCCTTTTTTAGCCCGAGAATACAGAACCTTTTCAAAAGGTCCTGTTACAGCCGACTCTTGCAGTCTTGCTTTTCTGAGAAAACAGTTGCCTCACTACTTTCGCACAGACAGAACTTTGTTGCAGCGGCGTGGGTGCCGGCTGCAAAAACAGTGGAAACGTTCGGGTCTGAACGAGGCTACCTGTGACCTGAACGAGACGGGTACATTTCACTCTGACACTCGTCTCTCCTCCATGGCAACGTCACATTCTTGACCTTAAACATTGGTG